TATGTATATGTATATGTATATATGTGTGTGTGTGTGTGTGTGTAAATTTCAAAATTCAGACTTTTTTTTCAAATTATTGCAAGAAGAAAACCAGGACCTGTAATCTCAATTGGCAAATCATCAGATGTGAATAATGGTTGCCTGCTTTGGGAGAGGATCATCAGACTGTCCAGCCCCACCTGCCCCACTCATTCACATGCCCCATCCCGCCCTGTAGGTGGTCTGGATTCGGGCCCTGATCTCTTTTCCTGTAGCCTTCACTATGAACTATGCTCTCATATAATTCCCTGACCTCATGGATTGCTACTACATGAAATCTTAGAATATGCCTTTAGAGATGAATTAGCATCAGAACATACCTTATTACTATTTCTATATTTAAACAGTAAAGAATTACATGATTAAATAAAAAACTGGATACAATAGAAAATCTTTTATTAGAAGAAAAATCTGGGTGAGTAGTTAACAGATCTTAAGGGGGTAGAAGAAAACTGCCATTAAAATATAAAAAAGTCAATGAATCAGGAAGTAGATATAACTAATATGATTTGCAAAGGGTTATTATCCTTCATTAAAATTCAAGAAAAAAAATGAACCCTAATAAAGAACGGACAAATACATTTTGCAGAAGAAATACAAGTGACCCAAGAACTCATTAAAAGATGGTCTGTTTTACTAGAAACCGAAAAGATGTGAATCAAAATGATATCCCCATTCATCTATCATACATTAATTTATTCAACAAACATCTGCTGAGTTATCACTACATTCCAAACACTATCAGTTTAGCAAAGATTTTTTAAATGGTAATAATTTTAGGATTGAGTAAGTTAAGTACTTCATACACTGTGGAAAATAATTTTACAATATTCATCAAGAATCATAACACAGTTACTACTCTGTGACCCAGTAATTAAACTTCTTGGAATTTATCCTAGGAAAATAATCAGTGTAGCAGACAAAGATTAATGTATGAGGATGTTAATCATAGTGTAATTTATAATATCAAACACATTAGAAACGTAATGTCTAACAATAAGGAGTGATTAAACAAATTATGGTCCATTCAAACGATGCACAATTATGCAGACATTAAAATTATGTTTTCAAAGACCATTTATTGATATGGGAAAATGATCATGAAAAGTTTTAAAGCCTGAATTTTGAAAAGAATCTCATCTAACTAATTAAAGTGATATATTCTATGATTCGGGGCTTATTTTTGCTTCTTCCCGCCGTCTTGTTATCTGATACTTCTCCTGCAAGGAACATAACATTTCTCCATATACATCTTATTTCAGATGGGCATTAAATGAAGAGTCTCAGAGAAAAACACAGAAATTGCTAGAAGGAATGTGAGGAACAATGTGGCTCACTACAGGTTAAACATATAACAAAGTACTGAAGGATGCTCAAATGGTGGGCAGGGGCTTAACAGAAAGCAAGAACAGAGAAGAAGGAGGAACAGGAAGGAAGTAGAATATAAAAGATCAAGACTACAGCAGAGAGAGAGGTCAGAGAGGCAGGAGGAGAGCCAGAGGAGGACAGAAGTCAAAAGGGACACCACTGAATGTTAAGGAAATTCTCTGCACAACGCCACAGTACTAGAACTTAAGAAATTCCCTTTTTGATGTATTTATAGTTTTATGTAGATCAGACAAGACACTTACAAGAAGCATTATTTGTTTCTTGTAACACCAACCACAGGAAGGGCCAAAAGGGATGTCATGGTAGAAAAAGCAGAACCATCTCACTGCCATGAAAAGCATAACAACAAAAACTGAAAGTCTGAGAGCCCCAAAATAAACTGTCTGTACAAAAGATGATTATAGTAAAACAAGGAGGAAGCGGCATCTTGGTTTTGGAATTGCTGAACTGTGCAAAGGCAGAAACCAATCTGCACGGTCATTTGCATGAAGAAGCCCAAGGATCCCACATCCACAGTGAAAACAAGAAGAGCTGGATTCAACCAGACACAGCTACTTGGCCACTCCTGAAGCACAGCTCCTCTGCATTTACTCACTGGTGCAGGAGCGGTCTGGACAACAGGCTTGTAAGGAACTCGGCAACCATGGTTGGCTTCCCATGATACCAAATATGATATGCCAGGCCAGGGACAGCCAAAGAAGCCACTTGTGAAAGGTCAACAGAGCACAGGGGGCTCTTCTGTGAGTGAATGCTGACAATCTTTCATAAACGATTGGTGGCAGGAAATCACCTCATAAAGAATACATCTAAGGGCTGAAGGTTATGGCTCAGTGGCAGAGCGCTTGCCTGGAACATGGAAGGCACTGGATTCGATCCTCAGCAACCACACAAAAATAAATAAAAATAAAACAAAGGTGTATATATATATATATATATATGGTGGTAAGGTGACAATTTCTTGTGTAACTGTAACAAAATAAGCAGACAATAGCTTAGCATTATGGTGTCAGTTATTTATAACTGGTCCTGTACTACTCCATTCCTATACAGGGGATCCATGTGGACTCTCCATTTAACTGCAAATCACCATTGAGTCTTAAGGCAGAAAGCCTACAGCAATTTAGAATCTACTTGTTCCCTTCACTCAGTCCAGAGCTCTCTCTTTCTGAAGCCTGATTTCTTTTATGTACCTCTACCTTGTACTTTAATTGCTCTTCAAGCCACTACTTTTCCAACATTTTCTTTAGGGGAACTTAAAAAAAATACCTCTGTATGTCCACTCTGGCCATTTTCACATCAGTTGGTTTCTCTCTTCCTTTCAGTAAGTTATTTTAACCTTTTGTTACTTTTGAATTTCTACTCCCGGGAAAATTCCACATTATCTTTGAATATATCTGTTCTCTTCTTTAAGTATTTTCATAAACTCAAATCCATCAAAATAACTGACCTTTATGCCATCTTCATTTTTCCCTTCTTTCATTTATAAGTTACATTTTTTTGTTATCGTCTTGAAATCTATAACCAACTCTTAAATTCTTTATCTTCTCTCCATTCTTCTCAACATGCAGCTTAGCCTTTTAGAACATTTTGTATCCTCTACTCTTAAAATTAATCTGCTGTGGGCTGGGGCTGTAGCTCAGTGGTGGAGTCTTGCACATGTGAGGCACTGGAATCGATCCTCAGCACCACATAAAAATAAATAAAGATATTGTGTCCATCCACAACTAAAAAACATATTTTTAAAAAATGAATCTGCTACAACTGAACTAACCTAAGTCTTTCTTCAACCTTGGCATTTTTATTGTTACCTCTAATGCACTGGTAATCTGAGATTGCATTTTAAAACTTCTTCAAAGATGTGGGATAATCAGGCACAAACATACTAGCCACATCACTGTTCCAAGGCAAACCGACCTGGTCTGGAAGCTCATTTCCCACTCAATAGTTGCACGGCTAGGTCTTGTTTACAAAGCTGCTCACTCACGCATAGGACAACCTCACCAGAGAGAGCAAGACTAGCTTTCAGTCAGGAACTCAACTCTCAACAAAATGGCACCTTTTCCATATCCTAAATTTCCCTTGTGATTCTATTCCCTTCCCCTTCCTTCTAAAAGGTATTGCTGCTGTCTTTGCCCTAATCTTCCTGTCCCTTCCATGTCCCCTCTCCACCCCGCACAGAATGCTACAGCTCCTACAGAAACTCCTGGACCCCATACACACACCGTCACCATGTTTCTATGACCAGACCTGGAAAAATATGACAATAAGTCACTGACATAAAATACAAAGAATGATTTTATTCTCAGCCTGGATCTATATCTCCCTACTTATATTAACTCTTATTCTTTTTTCTAACTTGACTCAATTCCTGTCACCTGATTTCTCTTTCTCTCTAAAATAACACCTTTTCCATATCCTAAATCTCCATTTCTACTCCCTTCAACCCATCCTTCATCTTGCTTTCTGTTCCTCAATACCTAAAATGCTCTTTTTGTCTTTGCAGCTATAACTCATTTACCCTCACCTCCTTCTGATCTATATATGCATCTTGATACACAATAAGAGACCCTAAAATCTTCTCAATATCTCAACTAGATCATGTAACAATAGCAGCCTCTTTTGTTAGTAGCTTTAAAAATCTGACTCCTTCCCAGAAGCCTCTGTAAATATTATACTCAAGTTTACATCAATTAGACAGTTATACAAAGGGTAGAAAAGGGCACAAGAAATGTCTAAAGAGCAACCTTTAAAAATAAATCTACTCAGAATCTGACCTTATATCTATCATTGCTTATTTAATCAAGAAATAAAATGAATGGGGAAGCAGGAGAAAGGAGAGATTGTCAATGGGAGATGATGGCTAGGAAGAAAGATTATGAAGAATTATAAGTCTGAATTTTATTCGGAAAAAAAAGAGGGGGCTTTACAGACAAATGCACATTTAAAGTTTTTAACTTCTAAAACAATCTGCATTCAAAAATGCAAATTTAAATTTGAGCTTCATGTTAGTGGAATTAAACTTATCAAATAATATTTACCAAAGTTTTGGTTTTTATAAATCATGAAGTAGAAACATTTTTTTCCAAAAGAATTTGAAAGTTAGCCTCACATTTGTTAGAAGTCCAGTTGAAACCAGTTAGAGGCTGCTACTTTATGCTTTGCCAATCTACAATTCAAGGAGACCAGCAGGTACCTGCCAGGCTTTTCCTGATTAGGCCTGATTGCTCTCCCTTACTTCACATTCTCTGTTTTCTCAGTAGCCTTTCTCTCTTCTTCAGGATTTCTCTTTGTTACCATGTTTTACCTATCCCTGAGTCTCTGACATGAGACTGTCCCTTCCTTCCTCCTGGCCGAGTTTTTGGTGCCAACCACTGGTAACTTGTAGACTGTCCCCTAGCATATTCTGCAGTGTATCAGGCATTCTTGGGGCTTGTTGCTCTCTTTAACCCCAAACATAGGGGGCGAGTGCTGAATAAATGAAAGGACCAGAACTGGAATACGACAAAAAGTCACTGTCATAAAACACAACCGATAAGAAAAGCAAAATAATATAAGGATATAAAATGTGATACCTGATGGGCCAGAATATAGATATTGTGTCCAACATCCTTTGGGGAAACACCATCATCTCTGCCTTCCTCTTCCCCATGATCACATTCCAATCCTTGGTTATAGGCATTCTTCATCACATCTACCTAATGGGAGAAAAAAAAAAGGAACAACAAACAAGGTTTGAAATGCTACAACACACGTTTTAGATTTTTTTGTGTCATAATTTAAAATTGGGAAGCTTCATGAGTCTCAAAAGTATAAAAGACGCATAATGAAAATATCTTTGAAAACTATTTAAATGAATATGAAGTATAGTCCTGCAATCCTACAATTCTTGTCTTACATGGAAATTTTTGCTTTGACTTTGAATGTTAATTGTCAAAGTTCACATGATTTATGAGAATCTGGAACCCTGAGAAACATCCATTATTTAGTGAGCCCCCACAAGGGAACAGACAGACATGGTTCTGGATGTGGTATAATAACAACAACAGTGATAATAATAATAAGTGGAAACAACAGGGCATCTCCCCTCAAGGAACTTACTCCCAGTGGACAATCAGCAAGTAAAGAACTGGTATTTTTCAAAAAGGTATTGCACAGTTCTATTGCTGAATAAATTCATCATTCATTGATGTATTTAACTATAGGATTGGGACAGTGCTGCACTTCTTAACCCATTGCTTATTATTAGCAAATCAAAATTTTAAATAAATTTGAATTATTTAGGTTGAATTAGTATGAAAAATTCATGAGTCAGAAATATAATATAAATTTATTGGTAACAAAGTCAGGTGTGGTAACACATGCCTGTAATCTCAGCTACTCAGGAGACTAAGACAGAAGAATCACAAGTTTGAGGGAAGCCTGGGCAACTTAGTAAACTCATTAAACTGTGTTAAATAACACAGTGTCTTATCTCTCTTCTTGACTCCATTATTTACTAATAAAGCAAAGATAGTAGTGTCAGCCTCCCATAGGGTCTCTCCATAGCACCAACCATGGTGTTGATGCAAATGGGACTTAGTCACTGGGGCACTGAGCTATATGGCTTGAATACGTCCTCAACACGTTTGAAACTTGCTGCTTTAAAAACATAACTATGTTACTTCATAATTTGCATACCATAAGTAAGAAGAAAAATATAACTTCTACAATAGGAAGATATTAATGATCTCTGTGGAATCACCATCAAATCTCTGCACAATTTCCTCTAGGCCAAGCATTGTGCAACATTTCTCAAGTAAGAACAACAACAAAAAATACATATTAATTTTACTTTTCAAATAGGTATACAATCTGGGATATGTCTTATAAACAATTTTACAAACCTTCCTTACATACAGTCTTTCTGTATCTATGGGCAATTTGATACCCCTTGAGGATACCAAAATCTGGGGACGCTCAATTTCCTCATAAAAAAATGATGTAGTGTTTGCATATAATCTATGCACAGCCTCCCTTATACTTTAAATTATCTCTAGATTACTCACAATGCTTAATATAATGTAAATACTACATTAATAGTTAATATGTTGTATTATTTAGGGAATAATGACAAGGAACAAGTCTATACATATTCTGTACAGGAACAATTTTTAAAAATTATTTTTGTTCTGTGATTAGCTGAATCCACAGATGTAGGTGGGACTCCTGGATACACAGGGCTGACTATACTCCCCAGACACTAGTAAACTAAAGTCAACTTTTTTTTCTGGCAAAGACCATTTGCATATAGTTTAGTAGAGTGTAACAATCTGGCAAGAAGTACTCAGAGTGGATAAAATGAATGAAGTCATAGGACCCAATTCCTATAGACCTTCAGAAGCACTTGTAATGGTGAGTCATTATGTTCCATTAGGTCTCGGCAGAGGAGGGAAAGTTGCTAGCCTTTTCTTCTGACAGGCTTATCATCCTCCTCTCCCTTTTAGGCTACACATTATTTTGTTAATTTGTTTTAATTAGTTACACATGACAGTACAATGACCTTGACATATCATACATTTGAATCAGATGGGATATAATAACTCATTTTTCTGAGTACACAGGTTGCAGAATCACATTGGTCATGCATTCACATATATACACACAGTAATAATAATGTCTGTTCCCATTCTACTATCCTTCCTATCTCCCCAACCCCTCCCCTCCCCTCCCATCACTTCTCTCTACCTAATCTACGGTAACACTATTCTTTTTTTTTTTTCTCACATTTTCATACATGTATTTTGTATAACAATGAGGGTCTCTTTCCACCATCCATGCAATTCCCTTTCTCCCTCCCTTTCCCTCCCACCCCTCTTCCCTATGTAGAGGTAATCTTCTTCCCGTGCTCTTCCTCTCTTCCCCATTTTGAGTCACCCTCCTTATATCAGAGAAGACATTCGGCATTTTTTTTTTTTTTTGGTATTGGCTAAATTCACTTAGCATAATCTGCTCTAATGCCATCCATTTCCCTGCAAACTACATGATTTTATTATTTTTTAGTGGCTACACATTATTAACACAACTTTAAAACTTTTCCTTACCAGTTCCCTGGGTCTCATGTTGAAAAGAATTCTCTCTGCATTCTCGCTGTCATGTCTGCTTTCCATAATGGCCAGCAAAAGCTTGGAGGCGTTGTTCTAGAGAAACAGATTGAGTTAATGCACATGTAAAGTCTGTTTCATGGACTAATGATCCCCTGCGTTTGTTTTAATTGAGATTGCCAGGACCATTTTTTAATCAAACAGAATTGAAAACTGACCATTTCTTTTGTCTTATTAATGTTTTAAATTGGATGTTTTACTTCATTGTCAATACAAAATAAATCTAATGAATCATAAGAGATGTTACAAGGGATATTTTAATTATTGGTGAAAAGATGCTTTAAATACAAAATTGACTATATATATTATATATATATAATGCAAATATATTTTCCTTCCTTATTTCCTAAATAGTCATTCGTATCATGACATTTTAATAAGAAATAAAGTGAACAGGAAATGATGACATATTTTATAGCAATGGCATAAACTTAAAGAAGTTAACACAGTTGTTTTTGAAATAAAATATTATTAGCAAATCAAAATTTTAAATAAATTTGAATTATTTAGGTTGAATTAGTATGAAAAATTCATGAGTCAGAAATATAATATAAATTTATTGATAACAAAGTCAAGTGTGGTTGCACATGCCTGTAATCCCAGCTACTCAGGAGACTAAGACAGAAGAATCACAAGTTTGAGGCAAGCCTGGGCAACTTAGTAAGACCCTGTCTCAAAATAAAAGTAAAAAAAAAAGTGTGTGGGGAGGTGCTTGGGATGTAGCCCAGTGGTAGAGCACTTGCTTACTATATGCAAAACTCATATTCAGTATCTGGACTATGGCAGAATAATATTTTCTTTTTTTATGGATGGTTGTTTCGTTTTGCCATACTGGAGATTGAACTGAGGGCCTTGCGTGGGTAAGTGTACTACCACTGAGCTACGTTCCTAGCCCAAGGATAATATTTTCTATTTTTGCTTAATAGAGAATAATATAGCTTATATTATTTGATATGCTCTTATTTTATTCATAAATATATTATCTCAAATATTTTACTTTGAGATATCAAAAATGTGTCTAAAACAATTTGCAATCCAAATGGGCAACACAAAGTTATAGAAAGTCTTATCATAGAAAGTATAATATCCTAGACATTTTGAATGACCACTGCAGGCTTGGCTAAAAGTTCAATATGCTATCCTCTGCCACAGAGCCAGTTCTGGACATTATGAAAGATGTTTCCATACACTATGATTTTAAATAGTGCTGCAATAAAATTTTGGCTGGCAAAAAAATACCCAGGAGATATTTCTACAGAGTTTTGTTATATTCATTTAGACCAGAATCTTAATCTTCACATATAATCTTTGATAGAACAAAAGAGGTAGAGTCAATGGTTTTTAAGGCACTTCAAAGTGAGTCAAAGTTAATATCTTTCACAGAATAAAAAATTAAATTCAATCAGCATTCAATCTAGGTGGACAATCACCACACGAATTTTTTATAAGATTATGTAAAGTAATTCCACTGTTTAATTTTAGTACTAAGTTCTATCCTGCTATTCCAGAAGTACCACATGAAGACTATTTTGAAGTGACTGATATTAGAAGATGATGAAGATGAAGAGCTGTAGATGGCACCAAAGCCACTGACCCACAGGGAAAAGATCTTAGTACGTTTATCCCATTTTCATTTTTTGCAGATTTGCACCAATTCTAATACCCACTTTCATAATGTAGGATCCTGCATAAACAACATAACTAAGAAATATGATTTCAGGATTAGTGGAGAGCTTAAATCCTTAGCGCCATTTGAACAGACCTCCACAGAATTCAAAGCTCACTCCCTGGCAACAGGAGCAGGACTCTCTAAGGAATCACACGAATCACAGGACCAATACATAATAGCTTAAAAATACATCCAATTTCAGAATGCTATCGGCAATATGGTATTTTTTGACCAATTTTCTTTTTCATACTATGTCAAAAGAATAGAAAGAAATCTTATAAATGACCTCCTAAAATCTGAATCCATTTTAAAGTACAAGACCCTATATAAGCTAAAAAATCAAATGGAAGTGTCAGAGTTAATAGGGGGGTTTTCTTCCAATGGAAGCCAGAATCTTCAAAATAAAACAAAACAAAAAAATATTATCTGTCTACAAACTCAACATTTCATATTTACCAATGATAAGAAATGGAAGTAAAAAGTAAAAAGTTTGAAAAATTCATAAAGAATTATACTATATGAGTATACAAAATATAAAGTTATGAACAATTAAGCAATCAAATTCAGTAATGGATGATATGAAATAAAACCTTAATATTTTAATGCAGCATCTGTATAATGTTATAGAAAATTTATTAAAGCCCCATACCTATGAAAGCCCCTCGAATTTACTAATGTACATCTTACTGTCAAGCAGACGTTGTTTTCATGTTAACCAATATAAACAAAACCTCAGACTGTTTAGAAAGCTACATTCACCTCATTCTTTAAGTAAAAAACTAAACTTCAAATATTTTAAATCAAATCTGTAAATTTGGTATTTCAAACAAATCGTGACTTATCAAACTATTGTATTTTAAAAGATATAAATTGTGCTTATTAAGTAAAACTTAAAGAAATCTTTGTTTAAAAGTATTTTTATTTGGATAGCTTATATATTTGTACTACTAAATCATACCCATTTAAGATTTGTTGTTGTTTTTTTTCACATAGGTCTGGATTTGTAAGTAATCTATATGTCCATACTTTATTTATTTATCTATCTCTATTATTTTCAGCATGGGAGATTGAAATCAGGAGCACTTTACCACTGAGCTACAACCCCAGCCATTTTTATTTTGTATTTTGAGACAGGGTCTCACTAAGTTAGTAAAGCTGGCCTTGAACTTGCAATCCTTCTTCCTCAGCCCCTAGAGTCACTGGGATCACAGGAATGCACCCAGCACCTGGCCCAAACATTATTTTTAAGTTTCTTCCTCTATAAGACATATTAATTAAAAATGAGATGTAAAAGTATAGTCTTTAGACTAATGAAAGGTTTCAAAAGTCAAAGACCAAGGCAACTACATGTTGTTTCTTTCTGGATAATGGTTAAAGATAAATTTAAGATAAAGTAACAAAAAGGTTTTATGTAACTCAAGTGAAGCTGACTGTCATAGAGGCCCAGATGCTTCATTAACTGACGCCTGCAGCCAGCAAGTCAAAGGGCACAAGTGCTGTCCACGTGGGGACCACCTTCATTCTGTCCTGAATGGAGGGGCTCAAAGCTCACACAGGTGACAGGGGAAAAATACAAATGCAACTCTTCTGCAAAAAGAAGCAGCACCTGTTTACTAGGGGCCTTTAGCACAACCTTCACATGAGTAGGACATATGTATATTCCATCTGACACTCAAACCTGCATTTAGAAACAGATTCATAAAAATATCATTTCTATTCTTCTTGGCCATAAATTTACCCAGATAAAGTTCAACTTAATTATATGCTTTCTATCATATTGGATAGCTCTGGCTTTGCAGAGAAATTGTATTTATCCCTGATTGTGCCTTTTTTAACCTGCTCAACACTAAACACAATAATGTGGTCTTAAATAATTTATTTCAATTGAATATCATGCCTTAGCATTGGGGATTTATATAGTTTCTAGACAAATATTCATTTGTCTATTTTCATTTGAACAGAAAGTTCAAAAAGAAAAAAAATTAAATGCCCCTGTGCTTCTGAGAAACAGAACTGCTGAAAGTGGGTACAAGGCTTGCATTAAAGGACTCCCTTAAAGGCACTGCGAATATAACAACATATTTTTTGAGAGGAATTCATATTCTAATGTAAAAAGGACTTGGAAAGAAGATATAAAACTAAAATGTGTCACTCCTTTGACATTATCTAATTAATTATGACCTCCTGTAGCCCAGGTGGGCTATAAGTACACGGTGTGATCAGTGTTCAGCACATTTTGCTTCTCTGTATAATGAAAATTACAAAATAAAAACAGCAAGGAAGTAGTGAAACAAAGTGGCTGCTCGAGAGAACATCCACACAGGAGCTTGCAATTGAACATTACCTCAAAGTAAAATTTCCGTTTTATCAGAAATTTTGTGAGCCTTTTGATTTTTAAATCTCTTTCTGTCAACTCATTAGTTGAAAATCTGATCACATCTTACATTTGACAAATGCTGCTTGAAGACTTAGAGTCAACTCTGAAAGGGAGTTTTATGTAGGGAATGTAACTTTCCCCACTGGAACAGCGGATTTTACTCTACCTTTAGCTGGAGCACCAAGTCCATTCGGTATTTACCAAGAGGATTTATGTCATTCAGAATCAAAGCAATGATGATATCAATCCCATTGGATTCATGAGTAGCAATGCAAGTCTAGAAAACAAAATATTTGTAAAATAACCTTTTATTTACAAATGAACAACACTAGATACAATAGGACATAAAATAGCAGAATCACCTTTATTTTTTGACCTTTAAAACATAATTGAAATTTAACTTTATTTGAGTTATTCTTTTGTGTGGAGTCTTTTAATTGATTGGTATTAGGTAAGAGGCTTTGGACACAGAGCATTAAGAGAGACAGATGTCTGTGAATGCCTATTTTTAAAATGAACTATTTTTTTTCAGAATTTCAAAGACCACTGATCATGTTAAATACTCTTCTGGCCAATAAATTTTTAATACAGCCATCAACAGAGGAGCTCTTTAAACTTTCCAGTTTTAAGATTTCACCCATCCTAAGAGAATATAAAAAAGGGAGATCTGTAAGTAAATTTTATAGGACTGATGTAGCACTTTAATTTAGGTGCTACTTAATGCTAAATTGGTGACGAGAGGTGGTGTGCACGTGCTGGACAACAGCAAAGACAGATGATGTGGGAATCTCCTAATATTTGGTGGGGGGGAACACACTGTCAGTTATGGTGTATAAGGGAAAATTTTGACAGATTTCTTAAACCTGGGTGATATATAGAGAGATTTTTGATTGGGAAAATTACATAAAACATCTTGAGACATAAATATGAACATTTTGAAGATAAAGATCTACTGTGCTAGGGTTCTGAACTTAATTTTACAGAACTTAAGATTCAAAAGGTGTGAGGGCTAGATTCATGGGACTATGTTACAATGGAGAACCTTGCCATAGAGTTTGAAAAAAATCTGAAAACTTGCTGAGTTAAATGAGAAAGGGTAATACCAAGACAAGTCTGAAATGACTGCTTTTTAGGATAGGCCTTATTTTTCCTTCATACAAGGAAACTGTCAGTCCCCTGACACAGAGGAAAGGCGTTTTCCATCCACCTTTCCCATTATTTCCTTAGGTTCTTCTGCCCATGAAATGTTTACTAAATGTAAAGGGAGTCTAGTTGCAGTCCATTTCTAGAATTTGCTAGCAAACTTCTTTCCTTCCATACATTTTCAGAGCATGGGAAATTATATGTGGGGTTAGAGTTATTTTATTATTAGTTTTTACTTTTAGAACTTACTTGGTGTTAATAAATTAACTTCAAAACTCAACTTCACCCTCTTATAAAACCAAGAGTTGGGTACATTCTAATAGGCTGCCCATGAAATAATAATAGAAGTGCATGGCAAACATATTTTCTGTTATAGATAGACATGGCTTTATCAACAAAACCAAATCTCTAAATTTGTATATTTTTCCTTAACTTATAAATTAACTGTTAGGCTTTCTTGTATCATTGACCTAGGAAATTGAAACAGAATCCAAAAAACTTCAGGGCAAAATTCACAAACTCACATGTGCCTTACAAAGAAGAAAAAATTATCCCTATAACAAATTATTTATATCAGTGATTCTCATGTTTTACTTGTTTATGTTTTATGTTGTTTACATGTTTTATGTACCTATAATGTATATGTGTGTGAGTATATGTTCCTACATACACACATAGTCACTCTATATGTGTATATAATTTGCAATACAAAAGTAAATCTCTTTTTCTCATTTCCTTCTATCAACAACTGATGTTTGTTCTCAATGGCTTCTTTAACATTTATATCCAGAAATGTCTGTGATTGGAAAACTCTTCCTGCATAAGCCTGTGCTTATGATGGTAGCTCTATAAAGCTTGTGTGGTTGCAAAAATATCAGTTGGCTCCTCTTTCCTCTACTCACCAAAAGTTATGTCTTCTCCCATAATGTGTCCTTGATATCCAAAACAAAAATGGAATAAGAGATCTACATTCTAGAAAACAGTATTGAACTTTGTGCCACCCTCCAAAATTAATACAGTCAAAAGAGCACTCTATTTAGATTCAAAATCTAAGGTCTTGAGTTTTAGAAACAACTCCACAACTAACCAATTCTGGCACTCTGAGACACTGGGAAGTCACTTAATCTCTTGAGTCAGAACCTATTCATCAGCAAAATAGGAGCAATAACATCTCCTTCATATGTTTTACTGTGAGTATAAAAGAGAATATATACTACCCCCAGTAGTAGGGCAAAAGGAAGTTTATTCTACAATCCTGGAAAGATCACTACAGATGAAAACTGAGCATTGGGGGAAGAGACATATTTTACCTTTTGTTCAGTAATTCTGACTTTTATCTTGAATGTTTTCATGGGAATTTGCTTTTATGATGAAATTAAATAAAGATATGGCACAGTATTCACTACTCTATAATTCAGTCTTTGTATGTTTTGTTAGGAAAGTAAAAATGTCTGGCAAAGCAAGAAGAAAGATCCTTCAAATGTACACAAAGGTTGGGTGCTTCCCTAACTTGGCCCTTTGCTCGTGAGTCATGACTACTTTTGCATGAGGAACTGCTTTCACAATTACCTGATTTTCATGGCACGGACCCTGGCAATATTCAGTCAAGCTCTCCAGGGTCTGGTTGACCAGTGCTACATTCTTCTCGTTGATGTAGAGACCCAACAGGCCCAGGCCACCTGTTGTACTCCCACAAATGCAGTCCAAAAACTGGAGGGTCTCACAGACGAGGTTGTAATTTGTCTTGTTGTTTTGATTTCTCAAGAAGTTCTGAGGGCAAAAGAAAATACATCACAGGGGTTAAAAAAAAAAAACTATACTAATTGCTTTCAATTCTCTCTCTATATGTGTGTTTTTCTAACTCAAAAGTATCCCTGAGGCAGTGAGGGATGGAAATGCTCTTTATAAGAAAGTGTTCACATTTACTAATTTTCTCAAAGGTTTAAGATGGGAAAAAGCCTATAGGTTTTAGCTAAAGGTTCTGTATCAATTGTACAGTTCATAATGAACACTTCTCAATGTCACCTGTTTAAAATAACTTAGTAAGGGAGAAATAATAAGTATGAAAAGGAGAAGAAGAAAGTAAAAGCAAAAAGCAATTCATTAGAGAGAGAAATAATCAAATTTCAAGTAAAGGGTCCCTGATAGGTAATGCCGCTTCATTGTTTGTTGATTGTAATGATAGCACTTGGAAGCATTGTCAAAAATTTCAAAGAGTTAACACAAATCTATATAAAAGAGGTTGTATACTGCTTTTTATAGCAAAATCTCTTATCAGACCCATGGCAAGGTGACTGGCTTAACCAATAAGAGTACATCCAAACCCTGATATATTGTGAGGCTATAAAATGAGGCACATCAGTATATACTGATAAGCATAACCTAACGATATATAAGTTAGTAATAAAGTATATTAATTAATAAAAAAGTAAATTGGAGGATACTATGAAATGTGTATTCTCTTTAATAAAAGGTTTACACACATATCAACATTTACATGGGGACAAAAATTTGTACAAGGAAATACAACCTATTAATAGTGATTTTCTTGAGGAATAAGCCTAGTGAAATGGTAAGCAAGAAGGAAGAGTTTTATTTCTTAAAACATTGCTTATATTTATTGTTTTAATTAATTTAATTTATTCATTTGAATTTATTTCTACCATTTATTATTCTTAAAACTATTTTACACATAGTAATTCCCTATATTGTTTGATCCCATACTCCTATCAGGAAAATGTCCAATCAAAAATTCTATAATCTCTTATACATTCCATACATCTGTTCCCTACATTGACAGACTGGACGGGTTAGGACAAGCATGTAGGCACACATCCAGCACCCTTTCTCTAGAAGGAATGCTTCTGGATTGGCTTGCCAACCATGTTGCAGAAGCTCTCCCCAAGTTGGAGGGATGGTTCACAAGAGTAATGACTTTCAACATCATTAATTCCTGAGCTTCTCATCCCCGTGGAAGACATTTAGTCCAATATGTCTTAACCTACCATATCCCACCAATTCAGAGCCCTTGCACTCTAGATCCTCACCAGAAAACACAACTTCATAATCCACTGTCCTCTACTGGGGACAGGTGGTCTTAGAAACACCTATAGTGAAAATGGAAGATAAGAGGCACTGCAAATTTCAGCCACTTCCACTAGAATTCATTAATGGATTCTTTTGCCAGCCATACCACCTGGAAGGGTGGCTAGGCTGGCATGATGGAAGGTGTGCTGGACCTGAAATGGTCTGCTGACTAAAACCGCCTCAGGTAAGCATACTCACTCACCTTCAATCAGGACAATCAAGGATTTCAACATTTCATGTGGCTTTGCCAGGGAAAAAAAAAAAAAAAAAGAAAAAAAAAAAAAAAAAAAAAAAAAAGTCAAAATTCTTAGGCTCCTAAACTCATCTGTCTGACCAAGGACAATGTATCAAATAAGATATTAAGACATGCACTGTACTCATTTACAAAGGTATCAACCTTCATTGATGCAAAAAATCCTTCTCTGTATTAATTTTGTTTCTAATAAAAACAAAACATATTCAGCATCCTCAAAACCATGAAAGGCATAGATGAGACCAATTGGACTTTCCTCAACAAATGCAAGAAAACTGAAGCTCATTGAGGATTAAAAAAAATTGAGTTGTGGATACACAAGATGATAATGTGTGCATCTGATTTTTTCATGCATCAAGGAACTTTTTTCTCATTTTTCTTTGCTGATACAAAAGTTTCTTCTATTTCAGAAAAGCATTGCTGGCTTTATTGATTATCTCTCCAAATCTCTCTCCCAAACTACTTGTTAGCTTTATTTGAGTTTAATTACTTATAACCACAGGCTTATTCTCAGCTTTCACACAAAACAGAACAAATACCTGCAGCTCCCGGTTGTGATTCTCACACAGTAACTGAAGAAATCTCAGGATTGGCTGCATGATGGCAATTGCGGGACTCATTGTTACTTCTTCTGCAGATTTTTCCTCCACGTTTCCCACCTCTGAGCCTGTGCACATAATGTCTATTTCTGGATCCATTTCTCTTCTGTATACACAATATGCTTTAGATGTTGCCGAAGAAGCTTCTGTTAACTGCCCTTTCATACCCTCTTTTAAATGTAGTGATGAATCTCTTACTGAAAATAAAGTAGTATTCTTATTTTTCTGAACTAATTTTCTTTCTAATTAAAATAAAAGAAAGACAACCAGAGACCCAAATTCTCTAACAATTGTATTAAAAAATCATCTGACGAGAGATGCAACAATTATCTCATAAGGGATTTGAGGTGAGAAATAAAAAATTAACATTTGCAGTGGAACATCAGAAAAGATTTCAATCCTTAGCCAATTTTAGAATTTTCTGATATCTATATCAGAAAGACAGACACACACAGACAGATACACACACAATCTATGAATTTATTACATACAAGAAGGTTGGGAAAATATGACAAACTTCAAAATGTTAACATCTTTATGACTTATAATTAATATTGTGATAATTTTTTTTTATTTCAAATACCAAGATTCTTTTGTTATATAGAGTTTAATGCTACCAATTTTGTTCCAAATCTTAAATTTTCATGGTGACTCTAAAGGTTTTAGGCAGTTGTTGTGTACCACACATGCCACAGTAAAATCAAAGAGTTCTCATGTCACCGATTGCTTCACACTGATTAAACCTCATCTAAGTTTGCTCCTGCAAGGCCCATGACCAAAACTCTTTATGGATGGAAGTTCACGTTCAGAGCCAAAGAGGCGATAATTAGGCCAAGATAAAGGAGATGATAAGGACAAGAGACATTTAAAGGCTACATCACCTTCTCTTCTCTCACCCTCTTCTCCCCAAGAGCCAAAGAGTTCTTTACCTCTCACTCGTGGGCCGGATGTAATCAACTCACTGTCCTCATCCCTCTTTTTGCTCCCTAGATCGATGGTGTTCACTGTCACTGTTGATCTTATCTCTTTCTGAGCCGCCTTCATTCGATCATAGAGAACTTTGAAGAATTTTTCTGACTTTTTTTGTTCATGCAACTGCTTGTAGAAGGAACTCTGAAAGAAAACATAGTTTAAGATATCAATACCCAAGAGGAGAAGAATAGTTGTTTTCATGCAGGAAGTGAACATAAGCATTATAGATAAAAGCACATATTTAAAATGCTACCCATTATTACTTCATAAATTGACAGCCTTCAGTCTCTTGTACTAGTTAATGAGAACTAATAATAGCTAGTTATTTACTTAGCACTTTCTACTAAGAGACATATTTTAATGTGTTATTTCTGTTATTCTTACTGATTATATTTTTTAAATTATAAGGTTATTATAAGATGTTGTATGAAAAGAGTTTTTGATTTTTATGTTTTTATAAAGTCACACCTTGATTCAACACATATTTACTGAATGCCTACTGTGTGCCATCTCTACCTAGTGCTAAAGATAGAACAAAAAAGGAAAAGCAACCACAATCCCTGCACTCATGGGTTTGTAATCTTAAAAAAAAAAAATCCATAAGTCCAATGTTTACCCTGTTTAAAATATGAGCTTATGTTAAGTTATGAAGAGTTATTTTTCTCTTTATCTAAATTAAAGTACATTTAATTTAGAATGGTTACCATGACAACCTCACTCATAGGAACCTACTGATAAATAGGCACTAAGTTTTTTCAGTACTCATTAGTTACATTGCTTCACATGGGGTCTAGGACAAATCCAATTTAAAATAAATCCTGCTCTATAGTGAATAATGATGTAGAAAGGATTCAACATCAAAAATATGATAAAATTATCTTAGTAAGATGTGGAAATACTGAGCCTTAGAAATATGTACTCTAATCATTGTCTGATCAATGTCTTATGGAAGTATTCAGAAGAAGGGGTAAGAGATAGGAAAGGTGATGTACTCCAGAGAAGGTAGAATTTGAAATGGGTGGAGAAATCATAAACTATTAATAATAAATCTATGAGATAGTCACAACATAAATAAGAGAAATATAGTAAAAATTTAGTGAAGATAATAATCATGTAACTATAATGATAAAAAAGAGATTTTTGTAAGCTTAACAGAGGTAGTGTAAAGAAAACATATATATATAAACAATGTTTTCTAGATCAAGGAGAACTGTCCATAGTCCAAAATAAGAAAATCTAAACAGGCCATTTTGGGGAATTTGACTGTTTCAGATACGCTCTCCTAAAGGAGTGCCTGGAACCATGACCTACAGGTCTTGGGACATGTGAGACTCCAACGGCATCGGGTTTTGCAATTTTCTATGTGGGCAATGCACATATGCACAGTGAATTTAGAAGCATAAGATGCCTACTCCACCCACACAAGAGGACGCTCCCAAGTGGAGGGTGAGCAACCCTTAAGGCAGCAGGCCAAAAGTCACAGTAACCATAGCAACCACAGCCCAACAGCCAAGCTGGTTCTGTTGGTTCAAAGGATAAACACAGCGTTCACAGATCTCTGTGGTTCCACAAATTAAGCTGAAGCTTAAGCCCTAAAATTTTGAAACAATATGGTTAGAATGTGGAAGGAGGTCCCAATATATTAGTAAAGAAGATATGGAAATGTTGTGGCTCTACTGAAACAGGGTTTTACAGTTGATATAGATCTTTCACTCATATCACATCATGGGCACCTTCAGTCCAACAGTATGATGCACCAGATGCTCTTTTGCCATTTTATAGATTAATAAAATGAGATTTAGCAAAGGTAAGTGACTTGCCCAATATTACATAACGAGTAAGTAGTAGAGCAAGGATTTAAATCTAGATACAGACTCCAAACCACTAAATTATAAAATAGCAATATAAACTCAAAACAATAGATCATTTACATAGACAATACCTTTTAAAACCCAGGGATCTACAATACTGAACAGCATGAGTTTAAGAAAATTAAAAGTATGTTTCATAGACAATTTTATAATCTCAACAGACAGGTAAGGATTTAACAATAAAGATATTGTTTCTGCTTGGGAAAGTATCTTAGGGAGCTGCAGAGTGTATAAGGGGGAAAGCCAGGTCCTTTTTTAGGAGCCAAAGGTAATGGATAAACACATTTGTGTGACAGAGGAAGGATTTGGCCCCAAAGAAGAGGAGGCAGACTGAAAATGGAAGGGCTGAGAAGAGAAGTGAAATAATGAACTAGAAACACAAGAGAGGACAAGGGTATGACGCAAGGTGAGCCAGCCAGTGACACTTCCAGGGCTGAGGATATAGAAGGTTATTTCTAGAAAGGAGGTGTTTATTGTGGCTAAGATTACAGAATCTGGAGTCAGACTGCACGGGTTCAAATCCTGACTCTACCAAATAGCTGTGTGAGTTTGGAACTATCTGTTTCTTCTTCTGTAAGAATTCATATTGCCTCATGGGTTGTTGGAGAACAAACCACCAAGAGTGGTGCCTGGGATTTAGCAGATATTTCTCTTTCCTATTGTTATGATTAGTATTTGAAATTGAAATGTGAGTTTTTCTATCATCCACCAACCAATCTTTAATAAAGTATGTTAAACACATAAATTGATTTATATAGTTAGGAAGGTAGAAATTAAGGAAGGGGCTCTGATTCATATCTCAATAATAGAAGGAGAGCTGCCAAGATAATCCATGAACTAAAATGCAGGATACTGGTGATAAGGAAACAGTGAGAATGTAAAACCCCCAGGGGACTGGCAGGAGCCTTGGGAGGGATGCATTTCAGTCTATAATAGTGCAGGGTTCAGGATTCCAGCTGATATCAACTAGACCTCTGAGGCCAGATGGACACAGATGACATTTAGGTGACACAATGATGTACTTAATTGAAGAACCTGACCAAGGGGAAGCCTAGCAAATGAGATTGCCATAGGTCATCTTATAAGAAACTTTTTACATACAAGTGTAATTTAATACTCTTTCATCAACAAATATCCATTAAATAGCTGTAAAAGACTATAGATACAAAGAATACCACCGGATCTTCTATATTAAGAAGTTGAATTTTATTAGAGAGGGTGCAGTACAAATTAAAAAATTTAAAAAAAAAAAAAAAAAAGGTAGCACAAGCAAAGCAGCAAGTAAGAATTAAAGAACCAGTGCTAGGGAAGTTCAGATAAGGGAGCAGTTGCCAAATGCCCCAGCCAGACAAGAAAGACTATGAATGAGGAAGAATTTGACTGGGACCATTTGTAGATACATTCACTCCTGAGCACTTATTGTACTCTTAGATAGAGTCAGATATAATGCCAGACATAAAGAAGAACATGTGATCTCGACTTTTAAGGATTTTTAATTTATTAGAGTCTTAAGCTCACAATAACGCGGCAGTACTGCTAAAGATGTCTGCAGGTCACAGAGGGCCCTTCAGCAACTAGCAATCAATTCCGCCCAAAGGGACATGGAGTCAGAAAAGGCTTCCATGAGAAATCTATTGAGGTAAAGAGAAAGCATGAAAAATCACATATTTGGGGAGCTGAAGAGTTTAGTGTAGCTGGCTTGAAAGAGAAAGGACAGAGGGAGGAAGTGGGAAGTTGGAAAAGTTGACAGGATTCAATCATGAAGGCTCTGATGGACTAGAGTAGGGAGTCTGCCTTTGCCGGGCAGGTAATGATCAGAAGCAAGGCAATAATAGGTTTTGGAAAGATATCCTTGGAAGAAATAGGGAGAATGATTTGGAGAAGAGCAAAACTAGAAGCAAGGATACTTCTTGGAAGGCTTCTCCTCACAATTCATTAAAATATAAGAAGGATATGTAGGAGGGTTGGACAAGCAGGGGTTGAAAATAAAGTATGGATATGAAAGATGTTAAGAGGACAGAATCACAGAGGTTGATCATCCTGGGATATCCAGGAAGAGAGTGAGGGTGAGTGAGGGTAAGTTAAGGTGAAGGCTGGTTTTTGAAATTCTTTCTTTCTTTTTAAAATATTTGTTTTAGTTATAGGTGGACACAAAGCTTTATTTATTTATTTATTTATTTATTTTTTATGTGGTGCTGAGGATTGAACCCAGTGCCTCACACATGCTAGGTGAGTGCTCTACTGCTGAGCCACAACCACAGCCCCTGGCTTTTGATTTCTGTGTAGACAGCTTAATAGATGCAGTGCTAGTCATCAAAAGAGACAATGCACAGGGAGGAATGGGCATGTAGAGAATAATAGTGGATTCCATTTGGAATGTGTTGATACTTGTTCAACATCTTGTAAAGATCTCTGGAAGATACTTAGATGCAGCATCTAGGACTTCAGTGAGTGAACTGAGAATCATCAGCATAGAGCAGAAATTAAAGATGTGAACATGAATGAGATTCAGTTGGGGATCAAGTAGAATAAAAGAGGAGGGTCCAAAGAAACTGGGGAAATGTCAGGATTCAGGAGTTAATCAGAAGAAGAGGAATCTTCACAGAATGCTAAGAAGAAATGGTAGAAGGTGGGAGGAGAAGCTGGAGAAGGGGGTATCCCAAGACCAAGGCATGAAAAAGTCTCAAGAAGAAAAACGAAAGTCACCAGTGACAAAATGCCACAGAAATGTCAAGAAAATAAGGACTAAAATATGTTTTGGTTATGAAGGAATCTAGGAAATCTTTATCTACCTTGCCAGGAATTGAAAAAGTGGAATATGCAGTTTCTGACTGGTATTGGCTTATTCTCCAACAATATGAAGACATAAGTAAGTACAAATATGCACAGAGGATGAAGAATGATCCCATCTGATAACCCTCAGTGGTCCAGACAGAGGATTCCAGAACATACTGTTAAGCCTAAGAATCACTTCTAGAGATGTCAAGAAATCCTTCACTCCTATCGTATGTCTACATTTAATGGAGTAGCCTAGATAATTATTCAGAAACTCCCAACTGAATATCTGGTAGGAGAAGATGAGATAATTTCCAAGAAAATCCACTCAAATCCCTCCATTACCTACTGCTTCAAGCTCCTTCAGAGGAATCTGTGCTGTAGCTTTAGTACCATGGGAACTTTCAACACTTTTCTTTTTTCCCCACTAAGAAATATCATTGTTTGGAGATGATTTTGTTTTTGTTTTTGTCACTGTGCCATTTGCTATTCATGAGGCCTTTGTTCCTAAAGCTTCACCATTGGATGTGTCCTATAGTAAAGTTCCTGTTGTTCGACATATTCAATGGCTAGCTAAAGCAAAGTATCCCAGATTTGAATCAGATGTGGCTTCTGCTTGCTATGAAGAGGGACAGTGGGTTTCGGACTCCAATGAGTTGCAGTTGTTACATTGTTGCTTGTTCACCCAGGCAAATCTAGAAAGATCAGGTTACTGAGCAGCAGCAAGGCCAGAGGGCAGCCTTGTTTTCTGGGAACACTTCCCAGATCCCAGGCTAGCAAGCCCAATTGCCTGTGGGCGTGGAGGGGCCTGTGTGCAACTTGGCAGGAGTTACCAAGGGAAGTGTGTACCTTCTGGAGAAGGTGGTCAGATCCTCTGTGTGCAGGTGAGCATATCGTTCACTGTAGCAGAATTCCTGATCTAATGTCAGACTGATGTTTCTTAGGATGTTCTGCTTTATGGAATAATTTGTGAAGTTCTGTAGCTTTTACATCAAATTAAATAAATTTATAAGGAAAATGTGAGGTTCTTCCTTTTGTTTGTTGTTTGGTTGCTATGATAAGTAAAGAAGAAATACAAATAACAAATGTAAGGCCCATGATTGATAAACAGGCACCTGTGTTTGTGAATTTCCTCCTTCAAGCAAGGCAATGCCGAGTAAAATGCCTTCTGAAAAAATCCTGTCGTTTTTGGTGTTTACTATAACATCAATGACAAGTTCCGATGCACCCTCTTTATCCAGCAGAGACTGGATATCAGACATTGAAATCCCGGTCTTATCTGAATCTTGTCCAGAAAAGCTTCCTGTGATTAGGGAAAACAAACAAACAAACTTTAACTGCAGACACACTAGCATGCAATGTTTTCAAATCCTTACAACATAAAAAATATTTAACATTGAGCCTTTTTTCCTACATAATTCAATATAATGGAAACTGAGTTGAAAATTAACAAAGGTGTATAAAAATGGAACTTTTGGCTAAAGGTCAGACACCTGTACTTAAGTGTAATTAAATTTTTTCTTAAGAAAACAGAAAAAAATAGCTTTTTTGTCCTTCATTTACATACTTAATTTACTTATTTTTTTCAAAATCACAAGGCAAAATCAATTACAATGTTCAAATCTGTTTTTTTCATGAACCCCAAACTGCACAAAGGTTGTTAAGAGTGCTTTTTAAATGAATATATTATATTTGTGCCATTCAAGTGAAATACGAAAGACTGACATAAAAAAAAATGTCATGAGAATCCTAAAATGAAAAAACAGAGAAGCCTCACCTCCCACTTGTGCAATTTTGGCGTAGTTTCCTGTCAGGTGTCCATTCATACCAACTCCATAATCACCTTTGAAGTATCGATTCAGGAGTATTTTTCTTAATATGCTACCCTAATAAGAAAATAGGAAAAGTGTTAGTTATTGTGTCTTTTTCTAATGAAAGTAGAAAATCTCAGTATATTAAAATGCCACATAAGGTATATTTTATGGAAAATATTGTGATATGGATATTTTAATTATATATCAAATAATATTTTCTGAGGCAAAAAATCATAAATATGTACCAAAATAATAATTTTACTTCTTATAACAAATGAAGAAGGGCAGAAACTTGGAACTGATGAATGGGCTTATGACCTAGACTATAGAGTTGGTTTCACAGATTTACCCTAATTAAACTCATCAACCTATATATATTAAATATAAATATTTTTTATATGCTGGTCATACCTCAATAAAGCAATTTTAAAAATAAGTTTTCTTATTCCAGAAATAAAATATGGTAGATTGTACCAGAAAAATCACAAATACTATAAAAACTGGAGGTCCCAGTGTTGGTAAGAATATCAGTAGTTCCTAAAGATAACACAGAATGACAAACACCCCAAGAATTAAAACACAAAGACTTAGTTAGAAAAGCTTATTAAAAGAGTTGGGGGAAAACTGGGTATACATCAGCCACTCAGAAATTAAGCTTGATAAAACAATGAATTATATTCAGACTCTAAGAAGTTTTACTCAAAAGACAGTGGGCAAAAGACCTTGTATTTCTTTATAAAACATGCAATTCAAAAATTCCTAAGTCTCCAACTTTGTACTGATTATAGAATGTTTTATATGTAATATTTTAAAATACAATTTCTTTCACATGTATAAGAAATGCACACATCTGAAATCCCAGTGGCTCAGGAGGCTAAGGCAGGAGTATAGCAAGTTGGAGGCCAGTCTCAGCAACTTAGCAAGACACTCTCTAAGAAAATAACCAAAGGTGGCGGGGTGGGGGAATGGGGCTGGCTGGGATGTAGCTCAGTGGTAACCCCCCAGTACCAAAACAGAAAAAAAAGAAATACAATAACTCCAAATCTCCTTTAGAGGTTATTATTAATTTAATAGAAAGAATGGTCTTAAAATACTATTTAAAGAATACTTGTTTATCCCCACATCCTCACCAATACTTATTGTTGTTTGTATTCTTTTTTTTATTTATTTTTATTTTTATTTATTTTTTATTTTTTTTGACATGAAAATAATTTTATTCAAAATAAAGATTGAAAGTAAAAGCTTTTTTCCCCCCAAGGCTTTGGAAATTCATCAAAAACAATTAGTAAGAAAAAAAATCATGCATTCAGATTCTAAACAAAGAAATAAATTGGCTAATTCAAATCTTTAATAATTTGGCTGTTTCAATAAAACTGAACAGCTCTATAAAATGCATTTGGTAAAGTCACAAAGAATTTTTCATTTGTTTTGTTAAATTGATTTCAGAAATTACTACTAGATTTAGATGTATTAAATTATTATTATTATTTTTTTATATTCTGGAGTTCTTTTTTTCTTTTTTATTTTTTTTTTTATTGGTTGTTCAAAACATTATAGAGCTCTTGACATATCATATTTCATACATTAGATTCAAGTTGGTTATGAACTCCCAATTTTACCCCAAATACAGATTGCAGAATCACATCGGTTACACATCCACATTTTTACACAGCTGCCATTCTGACTGGAGTGAGGTGAAATCTTAGAGTAGTTCTGATTTGCATTTCTCTAATTGCTAGAGATGCTGAACATTTTTTCATATATTTGTTGATTGATTGTATATCTTCTTCTGAGAACTGTCTGTTCATTTCTTTGGCCCATTTATTGACTGGGTTATTTGTTTGTTGTTGTTGTTGTTGTTTGTTTGTTTTTTGGTGTTTAGCTTTTTTAGTTCTTTATATACCCTAGAGATTAGTGCTCTATCTGATGTGTGAGGGGTAAAAATTTGCTCCCAAGCTGTAAGCTCTCTATTCACCTCACTGATTGTTTCTTTTGCTGAGAAGAAGCTTTTTAGTTTCAATCCAACCCATTTATTGATTTTTGGTTTTAATTCTTGCACTACAGGTGTCTTATTAAGGAAGTTGGGGCCTAATCCAACATGATGGAGGTTTGGGCCTTCTTTTTCTTCCATTAGGCACAAGGTCTCTGGTTTAATTCCTAGGTCCTTGATCCACTTTGAGTTGAGTTTTGTGCATGGTGAGAGATAGAGGTTTAATTTTGTTACATGTGGATTTCCAGTTTTCCCAGCACCATTTGTTGAAGAGGCTGTCTTTTCTCCAATGTACGTTTTTGGCGCCTTTGTCTAATACAAGATAACTGTAGTTATGTGGGTTAGTCTTTGTGTCCTCTAATCTGTACCATTGGTCTACAGGTCTATTTTGGTGCCAATACTATGCTGTTTTTGTTACGATTGCTCTGTGGTATAGTTTAAGGTCTGGAATAGTAATGCCACCAGCTTCACTCTTCTTGCTAAGGATTGCTTTGGCTATTCTGGTGGGACTGCACCAACTTGGTACAGCCAATCTGGAAAAGCAGTATGAAGATTCCTTGGAAAACTTGGAATAGAACCACCATTTGACCCAGCTATCCCACTCCTTGGTTTATACCCAAAGGACTTAAAACAGAATACTATAGGGGCAAAGCCATATCAACATTTATAGCAACACAATTCACAATACCTAAATTGTGGAACCAACCCAGATGCCCTTCAGTAGATGAATGGATAGGGAACATTACTCAGCATTAAAAGAGAATAAAATCATGGCATCAACTTTTTGACTCCTGTATACTTAATAATAAAATGTTCCTTCATTATATATATATATATATATATATATATATATATATATATATATATATATATAT